TTTGTATATGTATAGCGAATTATACATATATATGTTTGCTATGGAGCACAATTATGCAAACTTTGCAATAGCATACAAATATGAATTTTGTGTTTGCTATATGTGAAAGTTGCTCTTTTATTTTCAACTGTAATATATTATATTTGTGGTATATTACACCAACACATACATTGTACGTATTTCAATTTAACATTTCGACAGAAGTGCATACTCTTTAATATTTCTTTTGTTCCTTTTTACTTGTCACTGTTTTTTTAAAGTCAAACAATATGAATTTTGATTAACATTTTAAAATGTATTTTTTCATCATCCACTTGTATAGTGGTCCATTGTGTGCATATTACTTTGTATAGTGGTCCATTGTGTTGTCGGTGACAAAGAAATTGTCTCACAACCTAAAGGTATCTTCCATCACAATGAATGGAATAAGTCAAGTTGTGTTATCGGTGACAAAGAAATTACCCTTCTTTTTTCTTTGCACCTTTCATCCACTTGTATAGTGGTCCATTGTGTGCATATTATTACACTGGAGTTTTTATAGTCTAGTCTTCATACTTTGTTGGTCACAAAGAAATTGCTTGGCAATAATTTACAATTTCAAATAAACAAGGTCCACATTTGTTAGGTAAAGTTTCATACTACAGTGGAGTTTTGAAGTCTAGTCTTCATACTTTGTCGATCGGTCACAAAGAAATTACTAAGATATAACCTTACATTACAATTTTAAATAAACAAGGCCCACAATTTGTTAGGTAAAAGTTTCATCTTATACCATTTTATTTAGTTTATCTTTATAAATTCAGTCTATTTCGATTGAGAAATAATATTTTTTTCCAAATGTGAGTTTTAATGGATATCAATAAAGTCAGTATGATATTTCAGGTCCAAATACCAATAACCATTAGGTGATTTAGTTCTTTTTGTAAAATTCTTGATTAAAAAAGATTTACTCAAGTAGAAATATTAATAAAATAATGGAGATAATAACACTACTCTCATAAAATTTGAAAAAGAAAAGAAAAAAGATATAAAAAAACTTTACCGTACAGACTTTGGAAAATCGAGATTATAACATCTTGTAATTCCTTATCTATATATCAGTAGAATATTTGAGCTCTACACTTGCAAAATTTAGAACATGGGGTCTACTCATATTGAATTGAATTATTGTTGTGGGGTCCACAGTAATATGAACACAATGGGACTGCTCAAAATACAAGTGGATGAAGCTGCAAAGAAAGACTATACCTTAGAAAATATCTTCGTTGGATCGAATTATTGCGAATTAATCTACTCGATATCCTGCACGTATGTACATTGGGGCATGACTTAATTCAAATTCATGGAAATTAAATTCTTCCATTGAGAGTAAAACAATTTCTAACAAAGGCTACTCAATATTCAAGCAAAGAGATGTGCATTGTTTGGGTTAAAAGCAAACTATTAAATTTTGGTTATTTTTTATTTGTTTTAAGATCAAGAATTAAAAATTTTGAAATATTAGTCTAGGCATGAGGTTGTTGGTGTTGTAATTGAGGTTGGAAGCAAGGTGGAGAAATTTAAGGTTGGAGACAAAGTAGGTGTTGGATGTATGGTAGGATCATGTAGAAAATGTGAGAATTGTAGCGTTGATCTCGAGAATTACTGTCCTCATCAGATTCCTACATACAACGGCTATAGCTTAGACGGAACCCTCACGTTTGGAGGTTACTCCGACATGATGGTATCACATGAGCATTTTGTAGTACATTGGCCTGAAAACTTGTCGATGGACGTTGCTCCGCTGTTATGTGCTGGAATTACTACTTATAGTCCTTTGGAATATTTTGGACTCGAAAAGCCTAGAATGCACATTGGTCTTGGAGGGCAAGGACATATGGCTGTTAAGTTCGCTAAGGCATTCAGAACCAAAGTGACTGTCATTAGTACATCTGGTAATAAGAAGCAAAAATCAATTGAGCGTTTGGGGGCAGACTCTTTCCTGATCAGTCGCGATCCTGAGCAGATGAAGGTGAATATAATAACTCGTTATCATTGAACTCTGTGATCATCTTATCTGAATGTTTAAACTGTTTGAGAGAGCACTTTTATTTAGTTAGTTATATATATAATAACTAGTCTTTGGGCACGCGCAACACGCGTGTACCCCATACGTCAATAAGTAAAAACTCTTATAAAGTTAAATAAATATTATTTTAAAATGTTGTACCAACTTAACCTTAGTGAATCCATCTTACTATTTTCTTCCTTTAAAAAACACGGGTAAAATTATAACATTACAATATTAGATCGTTCTTGTGCATAACTTTAAAACAATGAATCAAACCTTCCAAATATAATTTATAAAAAAGCACAAATTGTCGAATCGAATGAATTTGACTCATTTAATGTAAGGTAATCAATCTTAATCATTGTAGGACAATGTAGAAGTAATACTTGATATTTCTAACCTTATGAATTCATCTTCCTCAAAATTATTTTCGGTGTTTCTAAATAAAGTGAAGATGTTAAACTTGCTATACACTCTATTGTTAATCTCAGATCATAAATAGACTAATTTGAAAAAATATATTAATTATCAAAATCTTACTAACAAACAATAGAAGATGGAAAAAGAGAAGAAAAGAAGGAACTTTAGCATAGGAGTACGTAGATCTGCTAGTGGAAGAATCCAAGATGACAAATTCGTATTTGGTAATGGTATATATTGATTTAGCTGCAACTCTTCATATTCTTTAATTTAAGATTTAAAAGGGGGAAAACCTTGATTCATGTACTTATTTAAGAACAATTATTCAATTTTAACTATTTTACCAATTACAGATGACTCTTAAAATTCTAGAAATCATAATTGACTCTTGTTCTTCTACATAACCTTTCTAATAAAGAACTTACCATTCAAAAAATAATTAAAATATTATTATTTAATATTTAATTAATTAAATGTTTAATTTAGCTTAGGGGTAAAATGATAATTTAACTTTTCATATTTGGAGTTTTTCACTTTGAATAATATTTATTTATTATTGCAAAAAGTATTCATACTACCTATATTTAAAGAGTTGAAAATTTAAAAGAAACGTGCCTGATAAATGGAAAAAGACAAATATGAATAAAAAATAAAATAAGTAATTCCATGGTATAAAAATCAAACGTTTTCAACAAAAAAATAAATAAAAATGAAATAGAAATGAAAAAAAAAAAGAAAAAGAGAAAGACAGTCTTAAAATTAAAATAACAATTACCTAGAGATTCAAAATGAAAGAAAGAATGTGATCATAATAATCATGAACTTCACAGTATCCGTATACAACAACCCTGCTCGACATCAAAATTAAATCATCACCGTTAAACAAAAAAATATAGATATCAACAGGTATGTTCATCACATTTTTTGTACACAAAAAAATTATTTATTTGGAGAAATAAAATGTTCATAAGAATTTCAATACATACTATGAAATTATTTTACCTATGTGATCTTCAATTTGATATAAAAAAATATATTTCATGTGCACAACAAATCTAATCTTATTTACGCTTGTGTACAACAATCCCTTCATACGATCGAAAAAGCAATTCCTTCAAATAGCCTCTAACCTCTGTTTGTAGTACCCATATTTTCCAACAACTTCATATCAAAACTGAATATATATTTGTAAAAGTTAAAAAAAAAAGAAAAAAGGACAAGTTCTTAATAAAGAAATTTTAAGAACAAAACTCCAAGAATTGAACAATACATTAATAGAGGAAATGAAAAGGAAGTTCAAACTCAAAATAAGACTCACCATTTTGGCTTAGAAACGATTGTAAGATCAATTGTGATCTTTGAACTTCTGTTTATAAGATGTTACCCACATTACATGTACTTTTGGACTTCTTATAAAATAAAATGAAAACAATTAGTGAAAAAAGATAACTAAAAGTGGGAAAAGCAGATTTTTTTTACCTTAAAAATGTTAATAGAGTCATTTAATTTAATATAAGGGCATTTTGGTATTTCAACTTTTCATTTGTGATGTTCCCACTAATAATAATACTAGTTTTACGGCACGTGCGTTGCACGTGCGTAGTGTATATATAGTATACGATGTTGTAAAATAGAATTAATATTACTAAATTAAAGCTTTATAGTAAATAATTATAATTTAAAGAACATAGGACAAGTGCTTTTAAATGATTAATAAAGATTGTCATAGAGTTACTTGTATTTTAAGATCAAAATAACCAGATATTATTGAAACATTTCAAAATATATTCAATGTTTAAATATGGGGAGAAAGTGACATATTTTTAGTAGTATTATTATTTACTTAACTCAATTTTGTAACCAAATCTAACCAACAAAATTTTAAAAAATATCAATACAAAAAATGACACCATTTAAGAATAATTTTTCTCTTAAATATTCTTACTTGAAATTTAGTATGTGCATGACACTAATAAGGATTACCATAAATATTTCAATATTTTATCTTTATACGTAGTCTATCTTTTACCAATTAATATTTGAGTAAGACTATCATAGAGAGGTAATTCTACAAAAAAAGGTACTTTATTGTTATAACGAATGATGGTTAAATTGAGGTTTGAATGTATGTCAAATATTTAGCTTGACCAATTCTTTGTTTTAGATATACATATATATTTCAGTAGCTATAATTTAATTTTAATATATGAACAACATCATCTTTGGTGTAAAATATTTCATTTCTTTAAGTTTCTACCTTATCTTTGTAGAATTGTAGTCTTCTCATTTTTCCTGCCGCATATAGTTATTGTCTAATGAAAGTATCTAGAATCTTATAGAAGTTGTATCATGATATACTATATTAAATTTTTTCAATAAAAAAAAATTAATAGATGAATAAAATTTAAGTATTGTTTATAGAATCTTTAATTTGAATTAAGATTATTTTATGGTCAATCATTATTTTCTTATTATTTTTATATAGCTAACAAGAAGTGTATCTTGTGACATAAAATATTCTCAAATTCAAATGAACACAAAATAATAGGAAAAGAATATATGGAACGATACATAGCCAATGAAGAAGGAAGACGAAAATATATTTTCATGCTATATTCACTATATTGTTTCATTTGATTAAAATCTCTTGTCACCAACACTTTACTTTCTTCGTTTATTTTTACTTACATATACATTAAAAAATAATTATTATCATGTTTATATTATCATATTATAAGTAAAAGCGAAATTCTATTTTTGAAATAGTGGATTTAACATCAAAACTAATGATTCACTAGACAACGTGATGCCCGTTGTTTAAGCAAAATCAGAAAGAAACTGCTTCATTTGGGGGTAAATATAAAAAATAAAAAACCAAAGAAGAAATAACTTACCCAAATCATGTGACTTTATTCATATTTGTTTATTATTGTTGTCTTTCCCACAACTTTTTGTCACTGTTCACTCATGGAAATCAAGAAAAAATATGAGTGTGAATTTATATATGATTTGCTACAATTTGTTCACTGGCTCTTTCTTATGTCGTACCTCGAATTGCGTTGAATTTTGAACTTAATCAACTGTTGCAAATAACCCCTAGATTTTTTAAAAAGAAGAAGAGTAGAAAACTTTCAAAAATCATAGTTAAAAGTGAGAGGAAACCCTCTATTTATAGCTAACAAATAGTAGTATGAATAGGTTCTAATTGTTCCTTATTTGAAAAGTAACAACCTTTCGAAAAAGTCACTGCTCATTGGAAAAATCACAACTTTTTGCAAAAGTCACAACTCATCGGAAAAGGCACAATCCTTCGGAAAAGTCACAACCCTTTGAAAAAATCACAACCCTTCGGAAAAGTCACAACTCATCGGAAAAAGCACAACCCTTTGGCAAAGTCACAACCCTTCGAAATAAGTCACAACTCATAGAAAATGTCAAAACCCATCAAAAATGTCGCAACCCTTTGGAAAAGTCACATCTCTTTGAGAAAATCACAACCCTTTAGTATGAAAGGGTATCTACAATTAATATAATACAAATAATTATATTAATACATAAAATAAATTGAGTACTTTTAATTGGGGGTATTTTATTAATTCAACATTCAATTTAGGGGTTCATGCTTTTAAGGTAGTATAGATATAGATAGATATGATATGATGTGAAAAACAGGAAGGAAGCTAGTGGCTGGAAGTTGCATAGGAGGGATGAAGACTCAAGAAATGTTGGATTTTGCGGCAAAGCATAACATAACACCAAATATTGAAGTTGTGCCAATGGACTATGTGAACACAACGTTGGAACGTCTTTTGAAATCGGATGTGAAATATCGTTTCGTGCTCGACATTGGCAATACATTGAACAAGAAATGAGGATAGGGAGGGGTTCAATTATATAGCAGTGTTCTTTGCTAATTAGATTACATTAATTTTAGAGATGATTAATCAAATGTGTTTCTTGCACTTATTAAAATAGAATAAGAATGTAACATTTTACAGTAGATATCAACGGAGACTATGCAACTTCAGTAGAACTTGATGGTTGGGGAGAAATTATTTGAGCTCCATTGGATTCCAAAGCTTCTGCAATTTATCTATTTGTCAGGAAATGGAAAATGTGATTATATTTCGAAATGAAATATAAAAAGAATGAATTTTTGCCACCCAAAATTGTACGTACATGTCCCTTCATAGGCAGTGTCCCCAAACTCGCTGCTGATTACTGATACGTACATCACCTATTCCCAATAGAAGAAAGAATGAGAAGAAATAATTTATATATAAACAGAGAACACAATTTCATGAGGTATATACCTATATTTAATCTATAATCCCGAGCTTGTGGGAAAGAGTTGCCTTTGTTTCTTAGAAGAGGAGCAAGTGGCCTCTTCTTCATCTCTGCTCTTCCTTATCCCATTGTGAAGCTCAGCTTCATCTTTATTCAACAAACGAACTCCAAATGTCTTCTTTTCTCCAAAAACATCTAACTTAATGCACCCATAGTCATTTGGTGTTTTTTCATTTGCATTAGATGCATCCCATAAGCCACCAAGAGGTACCAACAAAAATTTAATATACCATACATTAGAATATTGTGAATTGTTGGATAAGGCAAATTTCTGGGTCATCGACGACATCCCATCATCACATGATAAGGGAATCAAATGAGCTCTGATGCAATCAATATCATATTCGCCAGAATAACATACAGCAAATCCCAAGAAGTTATCACTTACATACCAATTCCTAGGCAAATTGACTGATACACTTTTGCCCATTCCCTGATATTTGAACCAACTTGGGATACCCTCCCCCCAACTCTTAAACACTCTTAGTGACAAGGAATCTGAAGAACAGATGTCATGCTGCAATGATGACATATTCTGAAACAAGGAATAACAGATCAAATCATTGCTCCAATCTGCATATATTGTATCTAATTCCTGTGGAAATTCTGGCAGCTGAGTAAGCCTCTTGCAATCTGATAAGTCCAAGGATCGAAGAGCACCAAGTTCGGATATGATTTGAGGCAAATGCTCAAAATTATTTCCTTGAGATACAACTCTTTCAAAGAGGATGCACATCCAATGTATTCTGGCAGCTTTGTAAGTCTCTTGCAATCTGATAAGTTTAAGTATTCAAGAGCACCAAGTTTGGATATGCTTTGAGGCAAATGGTCAAAATTATTTCTGTTGAGCTTCAACTTTTTCAAAGAGGATAAACATCCAATGTCTTCTGGCATCTTTGTAAGTCTCTTGCAATCTGATAAGTTTAAGTATTCAAGAGCACCAAGTTTGGATATGCTTTGAGGCAAATGGTCAAAATTATTTCTGTTGAGCTTCAACTTTTTCAAAGAGGATAAACATCCAATGTCTTCTGGCAGCTGAGTAAGTCTCTTGCAATCTGATAAGTTTAAGTATTCAAGAGCACCAAGTTTGGATATGCTTTGAGGCAAATGCTCAAAATTATTTCTGTTGAGTTTCAACTTTGTCAAAGAGGATAAACATCCAATGTCTTCTGGCAGCTGAGTAAGTCTCTTGCAATCTGATAAGTCCAAGTATTCAAGAGCATCAAGCTGGGATATGCTACGAGGCAAATGCTCAAAATTATTTCCGTTGAGCTTCAACTTTGTCAAAGAGGATAAACATCCAATGTCTTCTGGCAGCTGTGTAAGTCTCTTGCAATCTGATAAGTTTAAGTATTCAAGAGCACCAAGTTTGGATATGCTTTGAGGCAAATGCTCAAAATTATTTCCCTTGAGATTCAACTTTTTCAAAGAGGACAAGCATCCAATGTCTTCCGGAAGTCTTCCATCTATTATATTGCAGCCACTGAGATCCAGATATTCCAATGAGAGTAACCCTTCATTCACCTGAGGGAACACAAAGTACACTCTATCTTCTGATCTATGTTGTCCAAAACTCAATCTTATAAGCTTGTTCAACCGGACGATGGAAGATGGAGGACGTGAGATTAGAGTATTGCTGGCATGAAGCTCCTCCAAGTTTTCTAAATCACCTATCTCTTCTGGCAAGCTTTCAAGTTTTGAGCAATACGACACAGATAGCTTCACCAAACCTTTCGACTTACAAATGCTGCTTGGAATAAATACAAGGTTTTTCATGCCATTCAAATGTAGCTCTATAAGATGAGGTTGGTGATCAAAGAAAGATAATGGCAGTTCCCTTATCCCAGAGCATGACATCATAATCTTTCTGGCAGTTCCCTGCTTCATTATTCCAAGGATTTCTGGAAATTTCTTTAAACTAGAGCAGAATTTTAGATTCATAGATTCAAGAGATTCCACATTAACATATGGAAACCTCTCAAGTGTTCTACAATAATGCAAATCTAAGTGGATGAGTTTTTTGCTATACTTGAGGGAATGATGAACTTCTTCAAGACTCCTACAATACTCTAGATTCAAATACTCCAAATTTGGCATCCCCTTGAAATCTGGTGTTCTCTTCAGGCTTTTAGAGCCACTTAGATCTATCCTTCGTAGAGACAGAAATTGCTGCAATTCAAAACACAGAAAGAATGATAGTAAATGACATGTTTATATTATAACTCAACGTATTTATTTTACTACTTTCTATGGAAATTACATGCTCAGAAACTATTAGTTTGAGTTTATGGAATTAATAACTTATTTTCATTTAAACACAAGAATCAAATATAATTTTAGGACAAGACAAAATAGAAAGTATCTAAAATAGAATGGTACCTTTGTTTCATTCCATAAATAATGCAATGAACTCCACCGGAGATCAAGATGAACAAGCCTTCTGGGATTAAAATTTTCTGGCAATAACTTCCAAGGATAGGAATGCCACACAAACCAACGCAAGTTGTTTGAAAGGTACTCAATAGAGGATTTGGGAGTATCTTTGAAAGCCCTTTGAGGAACCCATGGATGATATGACATGCATAATATCCTAAGCTTTTGCATATTTTGCATTGCCTCTTTGCTAAAGCATAGTTTTTCAGAATCTGTCAACCAAATTACTTCGACTGTCATGGTCCCCTATAAAAAGGTAATGAGTCAACAAATCACAACTTCACATATAGCCACCTCTTGTCCAATTCACTTATCAATATCATTACTTTCTTACTCTACCGGTCTACCCCCAAATGCTATTTTTGTCATGTATGTTTTATATTATATTTATTATTACACTTGAAGTTCTTGAAGAGTTAGCACCACGAAACAAAATTTAAGGTACAAATATTAGTTAGAGTATATGAAGCTAGAGGAACAGAGTATGTATATATATATCTTTGAAATATGAATACTATTGCATTGTTTAGCTTACTTACCATATTGTCCATCATCACATCTTTGAAATCTTCAACATTCCATACTCTGCTAGGTTTTCCGGAATCTTTCTGCATTTTCACAATGTATTTGCCCATATCTTCAATCAAGTCATGCATTTCAATTCTACCATACATAGAGATGAACACAAGGGATTTGTCAACTAGAACATCTAATCCGTATTCAGCTCCAAAATCACAGCTATCAAAAAATTTCATTTCTTTTCTATGATGCCCACGGAAGAAACATGCGATATCAAGAAATATCTTTTGCTCTTCAGGCTCCAACCCATCATAACTTATTTTGAGTTTTTCAACAATTTCTAAATTAGACTTTTTCTTTATTTGGTCAACAGTTCTTGTCCACTGAGTTAGGCCTTTCTTATGCAGCAAAGAACCCCACACCTTGAGGGCTAAAGGAAGCCCTTTAGCGTGATTTACTACCTCAAACGAGAACTTCTTAAAACACTCATCTGGAACTTCTTTTTTGAAAGCATGTTGATTGAACAATTGCATAGCATCATCATCAGGTAGCGTAGGCACTTCGTATATTGCAGCATCCTTCTCTATCAATTGTCTGTTTCTAGTTGTTACAATAACTCTGCTGCCATTACCAAACCAACCGACACCACCTGCTAAATACTCCAAATGATCTCTTTCATCAATGTCATCAAGCACAATCAACACCTTCATAGACCAAAGTCTGTTTGGAATCACGCACTTCCCATCATACTTATTATTGACGTAATTATCTTTTTTTCTTAACAATTCAGAGAGAAGGGTATTTTGTAAGGAATGTAGTTGATTCTTTCTTGCATTTTCTTTAACATCGGCAAGAAAACAAGCAGCTTTAAATTGATCAGATAAAGTATCAAAGATGGCTTTTGCTATCGTCGTTTTACCGACTCCGCCTATTCCCCAGATCCCAACAATTCGAACATCATCGATTTTTATTTGAAGTAGGGATTTTAGTTCCTCCAAATGAGCATTTATTCCCACAACATCTTGCAAATAAGATAAAAAACAAGCACTCTTGCAAAATTTGGAAGAAATGTGGTCGACGATCTGCTCAATTTCCTTTGATTGATCAATCCTACATAAATTAGAGATTGATTGTTGACAATGTGAGGAAGTCAAGTATGAGAAAGTATTTTCATACTTTTAATGTTCAAGAGCGTATTAAATAGGAAACATTATAGTTCAGGGTAATAGAAACATATTATGTGTTTTCAACTCACCCGCCACGAATATCATATCCTTTTAGATTTCCAGTAGCAGTTAGGGCATTCCTCCATCCTTGCACCTTCTGCATCCCCTCAACATCATCCTTATACGTCGATTCATGTTTGGCAAATGCTTCTGCAAAGCTCTCACTTTGGTATCGAACATTTGATGGATCCACATCATAGAAGATCGGTATGACTGTTTGTCCATTTTCTTCCTCCTTGCATTCCATGATCTTCACTAGTTCATTCAAGCACCACCTCGATGTAGCATAATTCTTTGAGAAAATGATGAGTGCAACTTGAGACTCTTCGATAGCTTTTAAGAGTTCTTCTGAGATGGAATCACCTTGCTCTAGCCTTTTATCATCTTGAAAGGTGAATATTCCCCTGTTTTTCAAACCTTCGTACAAGTGACTTGTAAATGTAGCCCGAGTGTCGGCACCTCTAAAACTTAGAAAGACATCGTACTTCCATCGAGCACAGTATTGTGAATCACTCGCAAAAGAAGAAGCAGATGCCATTTATTTGGTTAATTTGTTGAAATTTGAGAAGAAAGATAAAAAGTTTGTGGATAGATAGAATTGATGATATTTGGACAACAAATATGAAAAGTTTCCAGGAAGATGGGGTCTACTCCAATTGTATTGAATTATTGCTATGTGGTCCACAGTAATATGAACACAATGGAAGCTGCAAAGAAAGACTATACTTTGGAAAAGGCATAATACATAAATTGGACCCTAAACTTGGCTTCAAATTTTAAGTATGACCTCTAACTTTCATAGTGCACAAGTAGGCACTTTAACTATCCAATTCTTAAACAAAAAAACACGCGAATCC